GACATAAGTGTCAAGATCACCTTGCTCAGCCAGGCGGTCCAGATACCGCATGAGACTGATGCAATCATTGGTGTGATGACCAACATCTTCATGATAATCACAGAATTTTTCTTGGTTCCGATAGTTTGCAGAACCCTTCATAGGGACCGGCTTCTCAATTGAGATTCGTCCCTTGATTTCCTTTAGGATAAATTGGTTATCCTTGTTAAACGCATACTTTGGGGAGTATGGTTTGAATTCTTTTTTCTTTTTCTGGGCCGGCTGTTTAGAGGAATCAGCCGCCCAGACCTCTTTTCTCTTCTCGTCTTTGTTTGACGACTGTTTCTGTTGTCCTTCTCTTTTGTCGAACCTTTTCCCGTCCGACTGTTTTCCCGTACTACAAAGATCAGTCGCCTGTATATAGGCTTCCGCTTCAATCAAGGCCTCTTGAAGAGTCGCCACCCTCTTTCGGACCAAATCAAATTTGAAGGTCGACCCGTCTTTGAGACCTCTGAAAAAGTCAGTATAGGCTACTTCATCCGACAACCCTTGAATCTGTATTCTCATCAGGTTAAACTGCCTGATGTAAGAACGAAGCCCCTCCTTCTCGCCCTGCTGAATTGTTCCTAAATCAAGGGTCGTCTTCTTCGCAGGGATGTTCATGGCGAAGTTGGAGGTGAATAAGTAAGCAAGCGTCCTGAAATTATTTACACAACCAGTCGGTAGGTTGCCGAACCATTGTTGTGCGATTCCTTTGAGAGTCGCTGGGAAACACTTGCACCAAGTGGGATCATCCAACCCTTGAAGGTACATCAGGTTGGTGAATGCCATCAGATGGTCTTCTGGGTTAGTAGTGTCGTCATAGGCGCCTACTAATACATTTTTCACTTTGGTCGGCTGAGCGGCTTCAGTAATTTCCTTGGAGAAGGCCGACGGCTGTTCACCAAGTCTAAGCAACCGTAGCTGCCAGTCCATAGGTTGGACATTTTTTGCTGCATGTCCACCAAACGGAGGTGGCTGTAAAAAATACTGTTGTTGCGGTACAAACGGTAAGTTTGGTACCGCCTGGTCGCTATGAAAGCCGGACTGACGGGAGGTGCCGCCTGACTGACTCTCATGATACGACTGAGTATGCCTCATCGAGGTATTTCGCAGACTGTCTTGGAAGTTTGAAGTAGAGGCCGACTCTGACAATCGGTCACTCTTCTTCTGCTCTAGCAGTAGCCGAGCGTCTGTGTATTATTTCCTCGACCCGTCCGCCTGAATATGACGAACAGGTTTCCTATTTCCTGGAGTAGGAAAACGGTATTTTGTGAAATCAAGGGCAGTCGGCTCCCGCTTCCTAGATTTAGGATGAGGAGTCGCCTCTCGCCTTTGAACTGGCTTCCTCTTCTGTGAAGTGGAGGTTTTCTTAGCCGACTGCTCCTTGTCCAGAGCAGGCGGCTTCTTGTTGATCAACTCTTGAATTTCTCCCTTGAAGTCCCTCATGAAGGTCATGAGTTCGTTCCTTGTGATGGGAGCAGACCCGTCAGTCGGCTGTTGCCGAACAGGCGGTGCGCCTGGTGGCTCGCTTCCTGTTTGAAGATGTTCCCGTTCCCTCCTTTCGGTATGACGGGTACGTCGGGCCCTTAGGGTCCCGTCTGAAGCTGTGTGAGCTTCAACTTCAAATTCATTCTCAGTATCGTGGTCCGACTGAACTTGAGGGTCGTCTAGGGGACGCCTCTCTTCAAGAGTCGGTACAGACTTGGATGCCATCTCAGAAGTACTCTCCCCACAGACGGCGCCAAATGTTTCGGGGTTTTCTGATGTCCTACGGGAGAGTTACAATTCCGAGACTGGAACCGGACGCCTGTACCTGCAAAACAACGGAGACTCTTGGTGGTGGGAGCTCCGCCTCCAACGGTCAAGTTAGTACTTGATTAAGGAGTAATTAATGCGGAAATTAAAGTGATTGGGTCTCTCTAGGTGAGAGTGTTTAATGTAGGTAATCTGCTTTTTTAGCGTGATCAGCCTGTTCCTCCCCTTAATGAGGATTAAGGGAGGTATTTATAACCTCGGGAAACGTGCCAATCTAGGTTTAGGTTAACCTTGGGCTGATTGGGCTTCCCTCGGAAGTTGGGCCTAGGTGACCGGTTATCCCAGGTGTTATGGGAAGGACACGTGTCGTGTCGTAATTGGTCCAAGGTGGACGGATCATTGCTTGACACGTGGCGGGCTCCTATTGGCCCATGTGACGGACACATGGCGGAACCTGATTGGTCCACTTGTCAGATGGTGACTGGTGGGGAAAAATCCCCTAATCACTTGGGCTACAAGTCTTGCCTTGTATCTAACTATTTCATTTTTCTCGTTACGTTTTCTTACAAATACCCATTTGTATCCAACGGGTTTTACACCTGCTGGTGTAAGAGTTATTTTTCCGAAAACTTCTCTTTTTTCAAGTGACTTTAACTCAGCCAGCATTGCCTCCTTCCACTTTGGCCAATCACTCCTACGTCGACATTCTTCTACAGTTCTTGGTTCAACATCATTTTCATCAGACACGATGTCGATTGCGATGGAATTTGCAAATGTTTCATTAACGATAACATCTTTCCTATTCCACTGAGTCTTTGTAGAGACGTAATTTATTGAAATTTCATTGTTATCGATGTTTTGAACATCTTGTTCATTCCCCGTAGGGTTGTCTTCTTGTTCGTCCCCTTTTGGATTATCATCATTTTCTTTACTTTCATCCACATTTGGTCTTTCTTGACCTTCTGACGGGGGAACATTATTAGTCTCATTTTCTATTCCATCCAATCTTTTTAGTTTCCTTGGCTTAGAATCTTTTGAACCAAGTGGTCTTCCACGCTTTTTGCGTGCCTGAGATTCATTTTCTATGGCCTTATTACCAGTTGGGATTTCAATATGTGCAGGGGCATTTTCTGCTGGTATATGTGATTTTGTCACCTTCTTTGTGTCTACAAATGCATCGGGCAATTGATTTGCAACACTTTGTAAATGAACAATTTTCTTAACTTCTTGTTTACACATATTTGTTCGTGGGTCTAACATCAACAGTTGTGTTGCATTCCAAATGAGTTCAATTTCTTTCTTATGTGGGTCCACTTTCTCTCCCCCTAAGGCTGAGAATACTGTTTCATTAAAGTGACAGTCCGCAAATCTAGCCGTAAATAAGTCACCAGTCAATGGTTCAAGGTATTTAATTATAGAGGGGGATTCAAACCCGACATAAATTCCCAGCCTTCTTTGTGGACCCATTTTTGTTCGTTGGGGTAGAGCAATGGGAACATATACAGCACAACCAAAGATTTTTAGATGTGAGATACTTGGTTCTCGACCACAAACAAGTTGTAGTGGTGAGAATTTATGATAAGCTGTAGGTCTCAATCTAATTAGCGTTGCTGCATGTATTATAGCATGTCCCCAAGCAGATGATGGCAATCTTGACCTCATTAATAATGGTCTTGCAATCAATTGTAATCTCTTAATTAGTGATTCAGCTAGACCATTTTGTGTATGAACATGAGCTACTGGGTGTTCAACATCAATTCCAATTGACATACAATAATCATTAAATGTTTGGGATGTAAATTCCCCAGCATTATCGAGCCTTATTTTCTTTATTGTATGATCTGGGAATTGTGCTCTTAATTTGATAATTTGGGCAAGTAATTTTGCAAAAGCAACATTTCTGCTTGAAAGCAGACTGACATGTGACCATCGTGTGGAAGCATCAATTAAAACCATGAAATATCGAAATGGTCCACATGCTGGATTAATTGGCCCACATATATCTCCATGAATTCTTTCCAAGAATTTTGGAGATTCAGTAGCAATTTTGTTCATAGATGGCCTTATTATTCATTTGCCAAGTGAACATGCAGAGCATGTTAATTCATCTGATCGGGGAATTTTGACATTTCTTATTGAATGTCCAACTGAATGTGCTATTATTCTTTACATCATCCCAGTTGTTGGATGTCCCAAACGATCATGCCATAAAATAATCAAATGTTTGTCATCTTACTTCTGGTTAGATATCATATTGATTTCCACGGGTCGTATGTTTATACGGTATAACCCCGAAGAGTATGCTGGAAATTTCTCATATATATGTTTCTTGCCATGTTTTTCTGCCGTGAGGCATATATACTCTTTTTGATCTGTCGTCATTGTTTCTAGATGATAGCCATTTTGGCGTACATCTTTAAAGCTTATGAGATTTCTTCGAGATTTACTCGAATATAAAGCATTATTGATTATTAATTTTGTTCCATTTGGAAGCATTATACAAGCATTTCCAGATCCTTCAATTAATTTAGCTGACACGGAAATGGTGTTTACATTTGCTTGAAACAACTTTAGTTGTGAAAAATATTTTCTATCTTTTAAGATAGTATGTGTTGTTCCACTGTCCAAAAGGCATTGATATTCAGAACTAACTTCAGGTAGATCCATATCTTCATAAAATAAATTTAAGATTAGTTTAGAATAATATCATACAAACTTTTATTGATGATAAAGATTTAAAGTACATGACTAGAAATTTAAAATACAGGGAACTAAGAAAATACATTAAAACATAGCATATGTTACATTAGTAGATGGGGAACCTAAGCATTGTTGTTTTCTCCAAGAATGAAATCATTCCCAGTTTCAGCATTGTCCATGAAGAAATCAGACACATCAAGGGTAGGACATGGAGCATTTTCTTCATTAACATAATTTGCTTCTGCATTTTTCTCTTTGCCTTTTACAGAAGCCTGGTAAAGGTCTACCAAATGTTTGGCCGTACGACAAGTACGTCCCCAATGTCCTGTCATGCCACATCTGTAACATGTGTTTTTTCCTTTTGAAAGAGTTTGTTTGTGGCTTCCAGATAACTGTCCCTTCTGTTTTTCAAAATTTTTGAAATTACTGTTTCTTTGAAAATTGTTTCTACCACGTCCTCGGCCTCGTCCGCGATAATTTCCACGGCCTTTTCCACGGCCATTGTAATTTCCACGTCCACCTCTTCATGCAGCATTTGCCTCGAGTGGATAAGAACTTGTTGCATTTGCCTCATGATGAGTGGCCAAAGACCCAGTTGGTCTGAGATTATGATTTTTCAACAAAAGATCGCTATTTTGTTCCGCAACAAGCAATACACTCATTAATTCATTAAACTTCTTAAAACCTCTTTCACGATATTGTTCTTGCAACAGTATGTTGCTTGCATGAAAGGTAGTGAGTGTTTTTTCAATCATTTGTTCATCGGTGACTGGATGATCACAGTATCTCAATATAGATACTATCTCATGTATGGTTGAATTGTAATCTATTACAGATTTGAAATCCTGGAACCGTAAATTTGTCCAGTCAAATAATGCCTTAGGAAGGAGCACCCTTTTGTGGTGTCCGAATCTTTCATTAAGGCAGTCCCATAATTCTTTGGGATCTTCAACCATCATGTACTCAGTTTTAAGGCCTTCATGTAAATGATGCCTTAACAACACTAAGGCTTTTGCCTTATCTTGTTCAGTGATAGGTTTTTCAACCGTCATTGCAGAAGAGGTAGCATCAGTTGTTTGACCAGAGGGACTTTTATTTTCTTTAACAGTGTGCTCCAAGCCTTGAGCTTTCAAATTCATCATTGCGTCCACTTTCCATTCCAGAAATTTCTTTCCAGATAAATCTAAGATGCTGAACTGTCTTTTCATAAGGTCTCCCATTTTAGCTACAACAAATTTCGTGATAATTAGTTTATAGTAACAATTTATATGTACAACTCACATGTTTAGTTCTTCCATATTTATAATTAAGTTAATAAGACACGTGATAATTAAATTTAATAATAATAAACCATAAATAATGTAGTCTTTTCTCCCCCTTGGTTTATTATTGTGAGTAATTATGTGATTAGGCAAAAATTAATCATGTTAGTTGCAAAAAAAACAGCAAAACGACAACAATGACAGTAGTAACAATAATTATAATGATAACGGTAATATTATACAATGATGATTAATAACAACAAACATACATAATAAAACAAAAACAAGCTTTTAATATACTAAAACGACAAAATAAGTGAGTTTTACTTATACATAATGACAAAAATTAATATTGCTACTAATAAAATTACAAGCGCCGTAATTAGAAGGAAATATTGTTTTATCTTCATTAAATCTTCCTCAAAAGTGAAGTTGTGGGTGTTTTGGGTGTTTTGGGTGCCGTCGTCGGGGAACATATCGGAGAAGAAGGGGGTGAATTTTTTTTTTTTTTTTTTTATTTAGGTGATTTTTGGATAAAAAGTGGGAAGGGATAAGGGATTTGTGGTGAAATTGGGGGAAAAATCCGTCTTTTATAGAGGTAGGTTTATCCGTTACTGTTCTGTACAACTGTAAAAATATCATATAATAGTCTAACGTACTGGCATAAAATTATGGTCCATATATATATATATATATTTATAATTGTAAAAGGTTATCACACTGGGAATGCAAGCCATAGTGGTCCGAGAGCCCTAATATCTATAAAAGATCATGGGTTCGAAAACGGAAAGAAACACAAAAAGTATGTAAAAGTAAGAAAAATAATAAGTATAAAAGGCTGCATCTTTTTGTTAATAATATGCATGCAAAGCTACTACTTAGCAATTATAATAACTAAGATAAAAATTTACGTAAAATGAGTATGTAATATCAACATGGATCAAACAAAGAAACATCAACATGAATAAACAAAAGATGATAGTAGTAAATTCACAAGTAAGAGAACTTTCACCGTTGTTTTTGAGGTATATATAGTAAATGTTTGAGTTTCTGTTATAGAGGATCCCAAATATAGGCAACTATAGAGCATACTCCTTGAAACATTTAGAAGTAGATAGTATTATTTGTTATAAATTTTTAGAAGTAGGTATAAATATACCTGACTGAAAACTGGTGCTGATAACGTGTTAAATGTTTACCGATAGAAAGTCTTTAATCAGTGAAAGGAGAAAGTGAAGGAGAAGAAGTAAAGAGGATGAGTGAAATTGTAGTATGTTATTATTATTGCCTCATATGGCACCCTATATATAGCTAATACTTCTATACTAAGAGTACAATTCAATCATGCTCATATATTGCCATATAAGTTCACAAGGGTTGGACTTATATGTGCATTGCAACATCAAATCAATGATTGGCATTCACATTGTCTTCTAACAAATATTGCCATTTAAACAAAATTTTGGCATTTTATTTTCCTTTTTTTTTTCTATGAAAGAATAATGCCTTTGAGTGAAATAAATTTAGTACGAGTAAGCAATTAATTTTTCTTTGATTAGTTTTCAAAAATTGTGGAATTTCAATTAGAAAATTTTTCTTTAAATAATTTGCTGATGCTGTTTTACTTTTATTCTGCAATTTTTTATTTTGATTTTTAGCCACTTTTTGATATTTAGGGTGTTATGGGGAGCTAATTTCCGCACACCCTTCCTTTACCATATTTCACTAGCTTACCATAGTTCACTTGCTTGTTCATGAGAAAACTGATTACAATTAATTTTATCTTAGCTTTATGAATTTTGTTTTAGTTAATTGATCTTTTATTATAACTATTGTTTTTTATTTTTTTTTTGGGGAGTAGCTTTTTTTTTTTTTTTTTTTTTTTTTTTGGGAAAACTTTTAAGCAAAGTTACTAAAGCTAATTTGGGCAGTAGCTTTAGTTTTTACCAGCTAAAATCCCGTGCCACGCACGGATTTTACAAAAATTTGTAATGAATTGTTAATTCAATCCTATAGAGCAATAATTTACCAAAAGAAAAATATATTTTAAATAAAAAAAACTTATAATTTGAAATTATATTTTAGTTCAATATTTATGGTAAATATATTATGGATAAATGGGAAGGAAATATTATTATAATATTTTAAGATCATGTGAGAATCTAGGTTTATAATAGGAACTAGGAACTCATCCTAACCGTTGATCACGTTTAATCTAACGGCCGAGATTCCACCCGTTTCATTAATAGCAAAATAGTAAATTCGATACTTTGAATGACTACCCAAACATTTCCCCTGTTCTTTTTTCGCTTTCTCTCTCTTCTACACCCTTTCTATCTCTTTCACCAAATTCTCTCTGATGCGATTTTTTCATTGTTCTTACCTCTTTGCGCATCAAATTCTTTGAATTTTATCTAATTTGCCTATTATTTATGAACAAGTAAGTTATTTGCTTCTTTTTTTTTGTTTAATTAGTTATTGCGTTCTTAAGTTTTGATTATTTGGAGTTTGAAATTAGGGTTTTCGCTTTTTTTGTTTGATTAATTTGTGTTGCGTTTTTTAATCAGATTATTGATTTTGTATTTTTGTGTTAGTAATTTGATGTTCTTTATGTTTAGTTATAACTCGTTTGATTTTGTATGATTCAAATTTTTTTTCATATTATTCGATTGAAGATTTCATTTTTCTTTCCTTGTATTATAGTTTGTTTTCATTTTGTTTCATTTTTTATTCAAATTTGTGCTCATTTTATCAATTTTAATATGATTGTTGAATAATTTATGTGTAATTGGATATATTATTGTTATCATTTTATGCATCAGACCTAGTGTTAGTGAGTTTTGCAAAATTTGGGGAAGTTTTTTTTTTTTTTTTTTGTTCAATGTATTATGAGTAACTAATTAAATATTTAATAAATAATATTGTTCTTAAATTAAGATATTGGACACATACTGATCCGAGAAATTAATTTGAGTTTTCCTTTTGTGTAAAACAACACTCTATAGCATAGGCTTGTTAATTTTTCTTTTTTTTAATCACTCTTGATCAATTGAGTTATAAATGTCCAAATTGTATTTCACAAATGACAACTTGGAAGCTGTGGCAGGTTGTGTGAGTTGCTGGCATAGTACCCTTCTCATTACCTTGTTGGTTTTTGTGGTTTAGGAAGAGAGGGTAGAGAAACAACCTGAGGGACCTGCAAATTTTGAAAAATTGTCATGGAAAAGTGATTTTTTTTTTATTTATTTTTTTTACTACCATCTTTGAAAACAACAACAATTACCAACTGCTCAGGTCCTCCTTCCAAAGGTGGGACACCAACAGCAGCCGTCTCAAGGATGCTGCTATCAACCTATTGGAGATATGCTCCAACTCTGCAATGTATCTCAATTTTTATTCCTTGGAATGAGTAGCATTGGGATTATACTATCCCAAAGATTTAAAACTGCTAATATAATAAAATTTACAAGCTAGACTAGCGAATAGGTTTACTTTAAAGTCTATTTTATTCAGTTTAGATTCTCTTCTATTTACTTTAGAGACCACTTAGGATTATGATTATTCTACGAAATCATTTGTTAATTGATTACTGAGAATTGGGTTATAGTTTTGTTGTAGTGATTATGGGTTAGGTTGTCATATTGATGGCTTCATTGTTGTTGTTCTACAAGCTCATGTCACTCAAGAAGGCCTAGTAAATGGCAAAATAACTGATGTTCTTGCAGCAATTGAGCAACTATTGTTGCTGGAGTAACTTTGAGGTTTGTGATGCCTGTGAAGAAGGTATGATCTTTTTGCTCATTTTATTATTGTCAACTTCAATAAAACAATCAAGTATTGCTAATGACTTTATTTTGCCATTGCCTTAAGTCTTTAATTTATGTTGGTTTTATGAGAGGAAGTTAGTTTAGGTAGCACATGCTTAGATGCTTTTGGTAACATTAGTATTGATGCATCTGAATGCATATTAGTATATGACAAAACTAAGTATATTATGTGACTAAGGCTAATCAATATCTATCATCACTTTCTAGTTTACTGCAAGAAATTTTATTATGATTGATTGTGTTAACTAACTATTTATGTGGCTAAGTATATTATGTGACTAAGGCAAATCAATTTCTGTTTTTAAGCTTTTCTTATTTACTTTTGTGTATTTTTTTTATTTACTTTTGTGATTTTAATGTATAAAGAAACTTAAAATGATTGATTGTGTTAACTAACTATTCTTACTCTATAATAGCCTACTAGATCAATAGGTAGAGCATTGTGCCATTGCACAAATGATGTGGGTTCGAATCCCACGTAGGTTCTTTTAACGCTTCAAACCATTTAATTGTAAATATTATTTTTATATCTACTTTTAAGTTTTTCTAATGTACTTTTGGGTAACTATTATTTACTTTAAAATTAATATTATTTATGTACTTTAATGATATTTTGATTTACTTTTGAGTTGATATTTTTTATTTACTTTTGAGTAATAATGATTTACCTTTAAAATATTTTGAATAACATTTGATTGTTTTATAATTACTTTAGCAGTGACTTAAGTTTAAGTAAGAATTGAACCTACACCTTAATAAACCCACATTGTGCTCTTCCATCCACTTGAATTAATATGTTTTAGCTTACCTTGTTTTGAAGAATTCATTTAAAACAAAATCTTCCGTTGATATACTCACTTTTTGTTTTTTATGTTTAAGTTATTATGATTTACTTTAGAGATGTTTTTGTTTACTTTTTGTGTTTTTTTAGTTAATTCTAAAGACAACCTATGTAGGAATCGAACCTACACCTCCTATATATGCATATGTATAGTGTTCTACCATTTGAACTAATAAGTTTTAGCATACCTAGTAATACCTTACCTTTTTTTAGGAGGAAATGGGAAAGGGAGCATATTATTAATCATCAAACCAAATCAAGAGCCACCAAGGATTGAACACCTTAGCTTGGGGAAAGGAGTTTACATAAACATGCTCCACCCCATTCGAAGGAACCAACCTAGCAATTAAATGTGCTACCGCATTCCCATTACGTTTAACATGATAAACAATAGAAACATTAAAACATCTTCCTGCATATTTTATATCCTCAATCACCAGGTCTAGGGGAGCTCTTCCCAAGCTATCCTTCTTAATTGCCTTGATCACATCCAAAATATCACTTTCGAGCTCGATGTCGTGATACCCAAGCTGTCTTGCCAGTAGCACTTCATATCTAGTTACCAATGTTTCCATCATCTTGACAGAATAATCACCCACCAACCTTCGCACACCCACTACGAGAAGGCAACCCTTAGCATCGCACAACACAGCACCAAGCCCCACACCACCCCCTGGCAACATAGCAGCATCAATGTTCACTCTAACATTGCCCAAACCCCGCCACACCCAACAATTATGAGCAGGTAATCTCTACCCACCATCCCTACTCCCCGCTTTCCCCTTATACATCTTATAATCCCCCCCCCAACCGTACAAAACCCATAGCACCAACGACTTTACACTTCCATGGTCTCATTCTCCTTATGACACAACACAACTCGCACAAACCACATTTTATTTACTACATTTACTTTTAAAGACAATTAGTTTACTTTAAGAGAAATTTAGTATACTTTTTCAAGACTAATTTAAATTTACTCATTAATTTATTCAAACAATTGTGTAATGAAAAAACTGGAAAAGTAGTGGAATATCAAGCATCATAAATACCTAAGCATCACTGTATCGCCTCATATCTCTCAAACTTTGCAAAATTCTCCAAAAACTCAATCAAATTCGTACACAAAATTAATAGTACTTTGCTGACTATAAAGAAAAAAAAAAAATTCACCCAAAATCATTCCAAAAATCACACATACTCAATAATAAGAAATTTGTACAAGGATGAACTCAAAGTCAATTCGTTCAAAACTCATCAAATTTAACAAATATATTAGAAAAAAAGTTCACTGTTAGGAATTTAGAGTGTGGTAGAAGAGAGCTCTCTCCTTGGAGTGGAGAGGCCACGGCTGGGAAGCCACGGAAAGCCGCGCCCGCGGCATGGGCGCGGTTGGGCATCTCCAGAAAGTTGGGTGAAATATGCGATTTCCCTGTCCGCGCCCGCAAGCTGAAGTGTCGCGCCCGCGGGGTCATAAGGAGCGCCCACTCCTAAAAGAGGAGCGCCCGCTCCTACTGGATGCCGCGCCCGCGGCCCTGGTAGTTGCGGTTTCGATTGTTCTTTTAATTACGAAATTAAAAGAATAACTTAACAGATTCTTTTGTTCTCTCTGATTTTTCCTCTCCAAGTATTCTTCTTCTTCACACTTTTCTCTAAGAAACTTGCAATCTCTTATAGAAAACTCTATCAATTATGTTAACCTTTGAGAATTTGATCATCTTACTACACATCTTAGTGCAAAGATTGTTGTGTTGTCTATTGTATCTCAAAGTGATTTTTCAGTTTCAACCCAAGTACCGTGGTGGGGGAAATAAACACTTTAGGAAAGTGTTTACACACCTTAGACAAGAATCCGGTATTGAAGACTCACGTGGTCCTTGGTATTCTCATGTTCTTGGTGGTTTCTTTAGCTTGGAGTGAGGCAAGTGTATAATCTTTCACATTAGTGTTTTCTTTGTAATTTCTGAATTACTTTGACATTGGTGTTTGGTTTGTAATACTTTGATTAGTATTGATTGTTGTATAATTAAACATTATTTATACACTGCTTAGGTTTTGTTCCACCATCTTTAAGTAATTCTTATTGTGTAGCAATAATTGCTGAAAACCTAACAATCTAAAGTGATTATAGAATCATGTCTAGTGTGAAAGAACTTACCACTAATTTTGTCAAACTTAAAGTTTGATGGAGTGGAATTTCGACGTTGAAGATGTATTTTCTTCTTACTTCTTTGAAGGTTGTCTATGTCATTTGTACTCCTAGGCCAGTAGAACATGAGAATGAGACCATGGAAGATGTTTGTGAGAAATCAAAGTGGGATAATGATAACTTTATTTGTCGGGGTCATATTCTCAATGGGATGGAGGATGATTTGTTTGATGTGTATCAACATGTTGAGTCTGCTAAAGAACTATGGGAGTCTTTAGAGAGCAAATATATGGCGGAGGATGCTTCTAGCAAGAAGTTCCTTGTAAGTAAATTTAATAATTTCAAATTTGTTGATAGTAGGTCCATCATGGATCAATTTCATGAGATACAACGTATATATGGTAATTTGAAACAACATGGAATTAGTGTTAATGAACTATTTGTTGTTTCAAGTATCATTGATAAGCTACCTACTAGTTGGAAAGATGTGAAAGGTAATCCTTTTAAGAAGAAAATGGACCATGCTTCTAGTAGCAAGGACCCAACTGTCAAAGGTAATCCTTTACATGAGGTTGAATTTAATTCCGGTATGGATTTAAATGCAACGGATCCTAACATTTTTATGGTACAGGATGATGACTCATGGTGGATGGATTCGGGGGCTTCAAGGCATGTATGCAAGGTGAAGCATTGGTTCAAAATCTTTCACAAGGTTGTTGATGGTGAAGAGCTCTATATGGGGAACAACTCTTCCATCATGGTCCAAGGAAGAGGACAAGTTGAGCTAATGTTCAGTTCGGGCAATGGTATCATTCTTAGGGATGTATTATATGCTCCGGATATCTCTAGAAATCTTGTATATATATATATATATATATATATATATATATATATATATATATGTATATATATGTATATGTATATGTATGTGTGTGTGTGTGTATATATATATATATATATATATATATATATATATATATATATATATATATGGAATCATATAAGACCACACCCCTTATGTGAGAACCTGGTATATGTGAGGACATATTACAACCGTTGGATCAATTGCATCCAATGGCTACTATTTATCCCGGTTAAACATAATTTCAAAAAAAATAAATAAATAAATCAGCATTTTCTCTCTCCTCCTTCATGTTGCAAGTTATTTTCTCTCTCCTCCCTCATCACCATTGCTGAAGAAACCCATGAATTTTCCTCACTTGCAGCTATTCTCTCTCACCCTCCCTCTAGATTTCTAGCAAAACCTACAAACCTACGATTCTCCCCCTCTTATTATTCAAATTTCTTTTATTGTTCAAATCCCTCACATTCTCTCTCTGAAATTTCGACTTAGGGGCTTCACTTAGATAATTATTCATCATCATATTGTTGTAAGTTTTGCAATTTAATCACTTAATTCCTGTATTATTCGAATTTTTTTTCATAATGTTGTTCAATTTTGCTTTTTTCTTTCAATATTTTGTATGTTTTCCAGCTTAATTTTTTTTAATCATTTGTATACTTTTTCATGTTGAATTACGGTTTTGATTGTTCCAATTGGATGACATTTCAATACATTCTTTGTGTGTGTTCAATTGTTTTGAGTTTTGTTTATTTTCCGAATTTTGTGTTTGCGATCGATTTTATACTTTCTCTACTGTTGAAGAATTATTGAGGTTTCTCTTTTTATCTTTGTTTTTCAATTTTATCAATTTGATTGTGAATTTATTGAATTTGGTTGTTTGAATCTTTTGTGATGTGGGTTATTGATTGATTATGTTCTTGATGTTGTACGCAAAGAAGCTGATTCTGACTACTTACAAGGTATTCGACGAAATGCCTCACTGATTTTTTTTTCCAGTTTTCTTTCATTTTTGTCTACGTATGTTTGTCTATAATCTGCCATCTTTCTTGGTATTTAATATTTATGGTTGAAAGTTATCTTGCTGAAATTTCTATTGATGCTTTTCAGGTTGTCCACATCTCTTCAATCTCATTGCCTAGGTAAAACCTAGAACTAATGCATACGGTTCTTCATGTGTCCAGTTTAATGCTTTTGTGGCTTCCTAATTTTCCCACAAGAGGAATGCTTATTAAAGGATGATCGAGTTTCCTTTTTTTTTTCTTTTTTTTTTTTCAAATTTTTCCCCACTGCTAGTATGTAGTGCATGAGTCATTGTTCTGTTAGTCTCTGGGTCTCAAAGTCATATTCTACGCAAGTATGGTATTACTAGGAATTCAGATTAAGACACATACTCATCATATATTGCAACATCAGATCTTACGATCCTGTAAAAAGGATTTTGGTGTGTTGGAAACTCACTTGCTTAGTTTTATTTCTGAGGTTCCGTACATCTACTTCTACAAGAGATTGAAATCCACAAGGAACAACCAAAGTTTATTAAAGCCGTTAGTGGGATTCAAATAAAGGGTAGCACAATCTAAATTTCTTATCTAGAGGAATCCAGCTAGTACCATCTCAATTAGAGATGATGGGGGTGTTGATACTAGTTCATCTATGCCATGTGTTAATTTTTTCCCATTCACTAAAAGACGAGGCCATTATCAAATATTCTTCTTGATTTTTGCATGGGAAATCTGAACACGTTATATGCAGCCGTGTTTCTACTTAAAAGGATCATTATGCTTGTTGTCTTGTTTCTTTAACATTTAAATTAAACAAGATCTACAGAACAATAGTCTGCAGCTTGTTACTTCCTATTTCTCTTTTTTGATGTTGATTCCAATCTTGTGGCATCAATAACTCTACTTTCCTCTTAATATTAACTCAATTTCTATGTAATATAGCATCATCTTTAACAAGATATTTCATTTTAAAGAAGGCAGATGGAAGTAATAGCCAGAAAGAATTCTAGGTTACTCCCCCCTCCCCTCCCCCCCCCCCCCCCCACACACACACACAAAGTAGCCATTGCATATTTGCATTACACTGCCAAACATACTGATTCTGGTCTTTTTGAATCTCGAGTGGTTCAGGGCCTCAGCAGTTTCCTGCAGTCTTTCCACCCTCCACAGCTACTCGGGATTCCATATACGCTCCGGCATCAACACCAGCACCATCACCCTCACATGCTCGGGGAGCTAGGGTGCCTGGTTCCACAGGTGTAGTTTTACCACCTCTAGGTTCATTCCAGGCAGCGGACCTGCTGCAAGCACTGCTGGGATACTCTGCTTATTACAAGAATATCATATGCTTGTTGATTGCTCATGTGGATGAAATGAGCAAAGAAATACTTATTGATTTAATGAATGATTAAAGAAATGTTTGCTCATTTGACAAATGAGCAACTAACTATTTGCTCATTTGACAAATGAGCAACTAAGTTTTTGCTCATTTGTTAAATTAGCCACTAAGTAGTTGCTCACTTGACAAATGAACAACTAACTATTTGCTCATTTGCTAAATGAGTAAAAAATTGATTGCTCATTTCCCAAATGATCAAATAAATGTTTGCTTATTTTACAAATGAGTAACTAATTATTTGCTTATTTGACAAATGAGAAAACTAATGGTTGCTCATTTCACAAATGAGCAAAGAAATGCTTGTTGATTTAATGAATGATTAAGGAAATGTTTGCTCATTTGACAAATGAGCAACAAACTATTTGCTCGTTTTACAAATGAGAAACTAAGTTTTTGCTCATTTGTTAAATTAGCAACTAACTATTTGCTCATTTGCTAAATGAGCAAAAAATCGATTGCTCATTTTCCAGATGATCAAAGAAATGTTTGCTTATTTTACAAATGAGTAACTAATTATTTGCTTATTTGACAAATGAGCAAACTAATGGTTGCTCATTTCACAAATGAGTAAACTACACTCAATTAGCATGTAGAGTAGTTTGAAAATTTTGAGTAGTTAATGAAATTTATTTCTTTTGGCTATTGGGAAAACAATACAAAAGACACCCACTATTATAGGTTATAAAATTGCAAAAAACTGCTTTGCTCATTTATCAAATGAGCAAACTATTTAATGCTCATTTGTCAAATGAGCAGATAATTTTGGCTCATTTTAACAAAAATTAATATTTTAATTCTTTACTAATTTGTCCAAAATGAGCAATTAATTTTTTGCTCATTTGTCAAATGAGCAAAAAAATTCAATGCTCATTTTGTCAAATTAATGCTCATTTGTGAGTGTGTTTGAATGTTTTAAATATGTTAGCCTACTAGCTCAAGGGTAGAGCATTGTGCAAATGCACAAAAGATGTGGGTTCGAATCCCACATAGGTTCATTTATGTAATGTGGAGACACAAGTTTGTATGAGAGTTTAATTGTAACAAAGTTTATATAATTATAAATCATTTCAAACCATTTTTTTGCTCATATAATTTAGTATGAATTTGATTTTTTTTTTAATTAATTTTGTTTATAGAGATAACCTATGTAGGAATTGAACCTACATCCCCTATGCATTTGCATAGTGCTCTACCAATTGAGCTAATAGGTTTATCATATGTTTTAAATCATTTTCTATGTTATAAATTTTTAATCAGCTCATTTGATAAATCAACAAAGAATTGTTTGCTCATTTGATAAAATGAACAAAGAATTGTTGCTTATTTTGATAGCATAAAATAAAAGACTGCTTAAAGGGATTGTATAACTAGTAAAATCAAGAATATTCGATGTATCACATAATACCAAGCAAAAATAAGTAGTATATTGCTGCAGAAAATATAGGAGTTCAAACATTGTGACTTGTGAGATCATGTAGTAACACCATAGTAAATCTCTTCAAAGACCACATCAAAATCCAACCACAAAGTTGATAAGCAAGATGTCCAAGAACCAAGTTGATAGTCCAGCTCCCAAAAAAAAAAATCTTTCCAGCATAATCCAGCATGATTTAGTTATTACACTAGAAAATGCACACATCAAGCACGAAACTGAGAGGCAAATAATTTCATTCTTTCCCTTAAGAAGATTTAGTTAAAGCAGAATAACCTGAGCTTTGAGTTTGATAAGTAAATTATCAACAGTTGAGTTAGTGTATGATGTAAGCAAAATAGATGCTCCTCTCATCAACAAAGTCTTGACAGCATATACCATAGTGGATTTTTTCCAGTCCCCGGCATTCCCAGAATAAGAGCGTAATCTTTCACTGTAAAAATCTGCATAGAGAACTAGGTTAACTACTGTTACCAGAAAATACCAACCAGAACATTAAATAGGCCAGTGCGTCTGAAAACAAATTGAGGGGGGGGGGGGCTGAATGGATTCATCAAAAATACTTCACCTTGATAATTGCTCTGCGCTGATCAGCATTTAAATTTTTCTCATACCAAATGTAGGATATATCAGGATCATGGCTAAGTACAGACCCATTGTCGAATCTAGGAGCCTAGAGAACAGCATTGTAGAATTAAAACACAGATTAATCAGTACCAGGGAGAAGCCAAAAATGGAAGTAAGACCTACCTTAAGATCCACAATTAGCTTCCTCAAACGGTCACTTTGTGCACTTAGCAGAAAGAGTTGTACCAGATTGAACCTTAGGGGGGAAAAACACTCAGTTAAGTGTAATTGTACAATCTAACCAGTTTTTTTGACACAACTTAAATAAGTAAGCCATAATTACTCAATTTTAATGATAATAATCGTTCATTAGAATGCCAAAATATATGTTTATCTCTAGTTTAAAACTCTACTAGACTACACAATTATTTCAATGCTACTTTAATTTATCAACAAACCTATGGATGCTCTGAAATTTTTTTACATCAATAATACAACTCGTTGTCAATCAAGTGCAAAGAATGAATACAAAATAATACATTAATCAAAACAAAAAAATGTGAAACCCAAATTTTTGTCATCAAAATCACACAATCTTGA